TATGAAACTGGGAAAACTCAATTTATATTAATGGAAGATATTTCAGAAGCATGGCCTAGATATGGCTTGCTGATAATATGCTACTTTGTGGCACTGACTTTCCAACTTTAATTGCATATAGTAATAGAAATCCCCCACTTTTTCATTTCCAGACAGAATCCATTTGTTATAGGATGCCCAGTACATGGTGGCTAGGATTTGAACATAAAATGTGTTCTCCTTTCTTCTAATAGCTACTCACATACCATTCTTTAATTGCTCACTATTTTGCTCCATTAATTTATGAAAGGAGATTAATATATAAGTAATCAAATGAAAAGCAATGATAGGCTCCCTTTCTTCTGCAGTGGTTGAATCTGAAGTAACAGAAGAGATACCACCTGAAAGACATATTTGAATATGAGCCAAGCAACAAAAAATCTAATTCTTGAAGTATATGTAGCTAAGAAACTGGGGGGAAGTTGCAGCTGCTTGACAAAATACAGGGCATGTTTTATTAGTACAAATTTCCCATAATATTGCATCAGAATCTCTTCCTTCTTTGCCAATAAAGAAAAGATATAGATCAAGTAAATAAGGTAGATAGTATTAGTACATTCACACTTAAAACATAATCCTGACTATATTTACTCAGAATAACTCTTGCAGATTTCAGTATGACTTCATCTAACAAACGTGGAAGGTAATGTCAAGGAATCCTCTAACAGTGAAATGGAATAGGAAAGTTCCCCCCCCCCCAAGCTATGTCATCTTATTCATTTCATTGTATACTTCTAAATTACTCCAGGTTTGGTTTACACATTTTCCATTGGTAGGTTTTGCTCATAGTGCTAAGCCATCCTGCAATTTATCACGAAGTATGATGTGTGAACATCAACAGTTTGTAAATTAGAGTTTATGGCTTTGCATGTTGTGTGAACCCAGCCAACTGTGGTTTATTCAATAAACCATAATTAAACAACATGAATTACAGTAGTTCAATTAGTAAATCAGATCAAGACAAATATAACTCTGGTGCCGCTGTAATATGGCAGTTGCCAGTTTGGTCTAGTGGTTAAGGCGCCAAGCTAGAAAGCCGGAGATAAGCTAAGGCAAATAAAGATAGCAAAGGCAGGAGTTCTAGTCCTGCCTTAGGCATGAAAGCTGGCTGGGTGACTTCGTGCCACGCAATCTCTCTCAGCCCAACTCACCTTACAGAGTTGTTGTTGTGGGGAAAATAGGAAGAAGAATATTAGGTATGTTCGCTGCCTTGAGTTATTTATAAAAATAATAAAGGCAGGATAAAAAAATCTAAAAAAAAAAAAAAATCCAAGTTGAGCCAGTGCCATCTAATTCAAGCTGTAGTTATCGGATGCAT